TCCCAGAAGAGGCCACAGAAATGATTAGCTTGCTGAGGAGAGAGCAGAGGGAGGCTCACCCCTGGTGACGCATCCGTCCGCTCCCTGCAAGAGCCAAGCTGGGATCAGGAGACCCTGGTAAGGAGCTGGAGCAAACCACCCCGGGGAATTACCCCGGGGACCCGGGAGGGGTTGGAGGTGGTGCGTGGGGGAGTCACGTTTTCCTGCAGTATTCCCAGCCCCTGTGGAGAGGGTTTGCCCCAGGGAGACTGCAAGCCCTCATGACCCCAGAATGGGCATCAGGACCCCACTGTGAGGACCACAGCTCAGAGAGCCGGGCTGGCACGGGTGTCTCCATCCCCTCATGCAAGAAAGACCTGCCAGCACAGGAGATTTTGAAGCCAGGGTAAGGACCAAATGCCTTAAGCACTCCACTGCTGTAGCCGAACTCCAGAGATTCCGGAATAATATTGGCTTCATTTATGTGTAAAGGGGGGGCTTTGTGCAAGCCTGGACGTCTGACTACACAGCAAGTTTTAAGATTAAACAAAAAGGTTCTATCTTCATAATGGAAAAAATAACATTTTATCATAACTAAGTTTCTGAAGATATCAGTGACAAACCACAAATTGTTCAGTATTTTCTGCTATAACAAGCAGGTCGAGAACAGAATAGGAAAATATCCATGTGTTTCACGTTACCCTTTTATGTACTGTGCGCTGAGCTCGCCTAAGAGCTAAACAGCATTTGATTTGTGCCTAACAATAAATAGAAAAAGGATTGCCAATTAAGAATGTGGGGCAGCTATTTTTAACGAAATGTTTTTAAACTTTTGGCTAAGTACGAGAGAAAGGCAGTGCCATCTGTCGGGGAAACGCGGCCGGTTCAGGGACCGCGCGGGCTCGGCGCTGCTGCGCCTTGGGGAGAACAAAAGCCCGGTCAGGCTCGGGGACAAGCCTGGCTTGACACGGGATAAACTTTTACTGATGAACAGAAAGAGGAGGTAAAACAATCTGGATGGATTCAACGCCGGACTGTGCAAACCAGCAGCTATCAGGTGTGTTTAAGACCTTCGTGCTCCTTCTCAGCAGCAGCTTCAGAGGCACGGAGACGGGACGTAGGACACGGGGTGGGCAGGAGAAGCCACATCAGGGTAAATCCACCCCACTTTGGCCACTGCAGCAGCCACGGAAACGTTCCTTCCTTGCCGTTTCATGAGTCAGCACTTCCAGCGTCGAGACTTTACACTCAAATTGAAACACGCGAGGGAGGAAGATAATCTGAGCTCCACAAAGGGATAAAATGGCAAGCTTAAGTGGTTTGTCAAGGACTGGGGCTCGGGCAATTTTTACTCAGCATTTCCACGCTGCTAGTGGTTTCACTTTAAATATGCAGCAGTCGAATGGTTGTAGCCAAATGCAGGTTTCAATAGTTGCACAGAATTTGAAAGCCAATGTATTTAACATTTAAATACACTGCATGCACCTTATGAATTATTTACTTACACCAGCCTTTCCGGAGATGTAGGGATATTCTCACACCCACACATGCATAGCAGCACAAACACATCTATGTACATCAGCTGAGTCTTCTCGCTAATCATGCTTTTCTGTAGCCATTTAGCATGCTGCTATTTTCACTTACAGGTCAGGGTGGGTAGTGGATATCAAATATGGACATTTTTTTGCCCAGTGAGGGACTGACACATCGGCTAGAATCACATTGATGGTTATTCAACAGAACTGCAGTAGCCGCTATTTTTGCTCCATTCCCACAGCAGCAATAAAACAGCAGCACAAAACAGAAAGTGACACACCAGATACATTGAACAGCAGCTGCCCTTAAAATCCGAGCAGTCCCCATGGACTGATTTGCCATTCGCAAACATTACCTTTTTCCCCCACCCCCCCTCCTACTTAGGGGGTGTAATTAAAGAAGAAGAGGGGGAAAAATGGGATCATATGAGCAGTAAGAGTAAAGAGTAAACAGTGAGACCAAAAATACGTGATCATGCTCTGGGAGATGTGTGGAATGGAATGCATCAGTAAGGTGCTTTCTTTAAGAAAAAATTATCACGAATAGCAGGTGGACAGACTCCTGCTGCACTGTCCAGTCCTTGCCTGATTAGTTAAAAAATTCATTTTTTAGTTGATACCAAAGTAAGAAGTTGTCTATGAAAGCCACGTGAATAGTGAAAGCACACATCAAATGTGCCCTTGGGCAGGATTAATGTATAGATGACCTTTTGGAAAAGCATATTTTTCTTTTTTAAACAGATAAGTGTATTTTGAACAGAAAATATTTTGTATTTTGAAGCAGGAAGACTTGTTTTTATGGTGTTCCATGCTGCCCTGTTTTAAGTATTGCACATCCTAAGATGTGGAATGAAAAAAGCACTTCTCTGGTGCCAAAGGGGAGCAGGACTTGAAAGAACACAAAAGTACCATTTAACTTGTAAGTGGTGCACTCTGAATTTTTTTTCCAGCTGAACTCTGTAAGTGTGCAAAATCCGAGAAACAGAATATTAATCTTTGATGAAGCAAACCTAAAACTGTATAGGCTTGGATTGCAATCATAATGATATTGTATTCAAATACCAAGACTCCTTTCTGAATAAATTCACTTAAAGTATTCTGTAGAGCAATATTCCATGGGGAGACTGAACTAACCTCCACTTTCAAACTCAAGATGATACACAGGCCACCCAGAACCAGAATTGGAGCTAAAAATATTCAAAGACCCTATCACTGCATAGCTTGTGATAGTAGTCTTTTTTTTCATAACATATGTTCACAGATATGTCATCATCATCTGTTGTCAGACTACTGGCAAATAAAGACTTGCAAATTTTCCTGCATTTTTCACATCTCTGCTCGTTCCAGCAGTAACTCTGCCTGCTTGCCTTTTATTCACCATGTCTGGCATGTTCTAGTAATTCTCTGTCACGCTAAGATCTTGTGCCCTCAATATTTGTTTGCTTGGCTTTTTAAAATAGATGTACAGCAATTTCTCTTCTTCCCCCCCCCCCCCCTTATTATCTACATTGCATTTATTTCCTCTGATTTAGGAAGGACAGGAATCCCTTTCTATATCCTGCACACCCCCTCAACAGTTTAAGACTCGAGTCATCCTTTTATTTAATATCAACAAACAAACCAGCCAAATTTGATCCTGGATGAAAACGTAACTATCAGCATAGTAAAGCTCAGCTAAAAAGACCTGTCCCCGGTACTTCTAGCCATGGGATCTGGAAATACTTCCAAGCTGCTATGGCTGTTCTGCCTGCATGTCAGGATGAGCCCCAAGACTTAATCTTCCCTTATTCTTTGATTTTCACTGGGAGAAGGCCAAGGTGTGCAGGTTAGGAACATGCCAGAGCATGCTGTAAAAGGTCTGGATGATCTGAACAATAAGGCACTGAAACTGCAGGGCACAGGCACAGAGTATGATATGGATTTTGCTATTTGCAGCACTGGAACGGGGCCTTTTTTGCCCAAAATGTAGGAATTTGCGGTACAGAAAATTAATTTCCAAACGGTGAGAGCAAATGAGTATTAACTAACATTGGTGGCTGGTACTAGAATTCTGTCATCACACCCAACAAGCCACAGTTTTTCTCCACAAGCTATTATTCTATGTAGTCAGGCCTAGAACAGCAGGCAAGGTAAATAAATATGTGCAGAACTTCACATTTCAGGGGGATGACCCCTGTGAGTAAAGACAGAACTGTAGTAAGATGTGTACTGTCAATATTCACAATGCTCAAAGCCATCCACTACTAAATTCCACTTACTTAGGGAAGAGACACCAACCATGCAGATTTTAAGGCTATGAATTAGTTTCCCTGATGCTGATGGGAAATTTTAACCTTAGTCAAGGAAGTGTCTGGGCCTGAAGGAGCCTGAAGACACCAATAATCACTAGCAGGTGATGAGTGTCTGTGTTGAATGATCCCATTTAAAATCCTGCCAGGCATCTATTTGCCTCTTCAGCTCCTTAGTTACTTTTGTGTATCTGGCCTTTGTTATTTGGAGAGTCTTTGGTTTATTCTTCTTTCTATAGTCTTTTGTCTTTGAAGGATTGATTTATTGCTATCTGATATGAGCTACATAATCCAACAAAAATGCCTTGTCTCAACAGTTTATAGTTCTGCTTAAGATTTATGTTTCATCCATCCTTCCAAGGAAAATACTTGCTTTTTCTTCTTTACGATTTTAAAGGTTTGCCTATTCAGAAATAAAATCCTCTTCTAGGAAAGGAAATTAACCTAAAGTCTGATTCACTTTAAAGTCTGAGATAGCTCAATTTAGGATGTGCTTTTTGTAACATAAAAACCATACACGTTCCCTGCTATCCGTGTTCCCCAGTGCATTTTTCCCAATGCACTTGAATTGTTCCTACCTCTCACTCCAGCTCTTCCTCAGAAATTTCTCATTTTTCTCCAAACTTTTCTTTTTGTTGTTTCACCAGATTTAAAACACTGTGGCCAACACAGTTTTTACCGGTTTCACCTTGTCTTCAACTCGAATCTCTTCCACACCTTGGGACGACCATTCTATCTTCAGCCCATGCATAATTGTTTCCTTAATTCTTTAACCTCTTACCCACCACCTTTCACTCATCCTGAAATTCCTTTCTTCAATTCCCTCCCAATAACGGATTCTGCATTAAAATCCTCATGAAAGCAAATGTTGGGAAAGCTCCTGTAACAACAGATTGTTTCTGAGGCAATAATGAATGCTGCAGTTTAACATAAATAGCTATTTTACTTCTCAGTAAATGGTTCTATTAGAACATCATAAACATTCTGCAAGGCACCTCATTGCTACCAAATGCAAGATATGGACAGTCCTGAGACCAGCAGTTTTATGCCCACTTGTGTGGACAATTCAGTCTCCCAGTTGTGGAATTGCCTGGGGAAACCATGAACTCTGCAGCTCAGCGAGGTGCAAGGATGGGAACTCCAAAAAAGGACTTATCACCTCCTTCCAAAATTGCACACTGCCTAAACTGTTACCTTGGTTTGGAGCCCTCAGACTGTTGGAGAGTTGTAACACCTTCACAGCACCGTTGTACCAAGGGCTGGGATCAAGAACAGAACGTGGTCCTCTAGATCTGAACGTTCAGGGAGTCAAAGAGGCTGTGGGGGGAGGGTGGAGGAGAGAAAAGGGGACATGGCCTGGGCTTCTCTTCTGCAAAAATTCTGGTCTCAGCTGTTGTGCCTGGAAGTATTTTGCTCTGGAAGACAGTGACATTAGTACTCTGATAATCCAAAGTATTTTTCAACATCCTCCGGTTTGTGGATACACTCCTAAGTTAATACATAAAGAGTGACATGCGTGCAGTTTTCACACCAACAAAACTCACATTCAAAGTGAGAATCCTGTGGAAACTAAAAGCTTCTGAAAAATCAGGTGCCCTTTATATGGACCCCTTGACTCATGTGTTTAGCTATGCTTTTCTTACCTCAGCTGCTCTTCCTCAAAGGTGTCAGGAGTTCTGCAGCCTCTACGTACCTCAGCAGAAGGCACACGTGCTCGATGTCTCTTAATGATCAACCCACTAATTTTGATGCCATTGACCTTTGCAGCAATGCTTACTATGCACAAAATATGATAATATTAAACATTTTAAAAAGGAGGTTTTTTTATGTTTCATTTCAAACCAAGTATTTCTGATTAAGGGAGTCAGTTCAATTCCTACCACAGTTTGCATCTAAAACCTTTTTAAGGGTTATAATAATCTTCTATACCTAAAAAAAGAGCGATGACTAACATTAGGTGTGCAAGCAAATATTTTTAACCCCAGAGCACAAACAAGGGTGGGCAGGTAGGCTTTGTTGCTCTCAGCTAAGCTACATATGGGATTTCTGATGTGATCATTCACATTTACTATGACTGTCAATCCAACATCTGCTGTTACCATATTGGACTGTGAATATTTCAGATCAACAACTGAAATCCAGATGTGCTTGTGTCATGAGCTCTACGCACTCTACTTGAAATGATTTGTCTTCAAAACCAGGATTAGGGATGCACTGACGCTTGCAGCAGTATCCTGAAATGTTCCTCGTGCACAGCAGAGCTTCTGTGGGAGAACTCAGACACCTGGGTCCAAACTCTCCGACACTCTGGGCAAGAGGCGGGTGCAGACGGGGCTCCCTCCCTTCTCGGTGCAACAGCTGGAGGTAGAAGACAAACCAGCACCACATTCTATGCCATTATTATCCCCATTTCTAATTTATCTCTTTTGCACTAACCTCCCCCCCAAATTTTACTATGCAGCCTCCCTTCTAAGGACAGCGTAACGTACGGTCTCAAAATCGACAAAAGCCCTGCTTGGTTTTTTCCTCATGTCTCTCTACACAACTGAGTAATTTTAAAAAGAAAAGGATTGTTACAAGGAGTACATTTGTGACCCTGTCTTGTCTCTTTTTAACTGCTCGAGTTGAGGATTTCCACCCTGGTCGCTGGCTTTACCTTCCTTCCCTTCTGTAGGGGGACTGAAGGAGTGAGAGCTGTAGGAGAGCTGGAGGGTTGATGAGCTGTAAAGGAGCAAAAGAGGCAGGATGGGCACATCACATAACCTGGGGGTACGGCTATGAGAATTTTTCAGACTGACTTTATTGTGAGAACCAAGGGGTTAATTTAAATATGGGGAATTCTGCATGTATCTAATACTTCAACATCCTGCCCCAAAACAATGGAATATTTCTTGTTACAACAGAGGAAAGGTGTTGTTAAGGCTTAACTCATATCAGAATGTCTTCAGACCAAATATGAGGTTTTTTTCTGTTTTCTCCTCTCACCAAGCCTGGGTACTAACTGGTGCTAGAGGTGGGGGTCACATACACACATGAAGAGCCCCACACCAAACTGTACAGGAATCAAACATGGAGGCCTGGACAACAGCCCTTAACTTCCAAGCAAAAAACATTCACAGATTTGACCAGCTCTGGAGTTTAAAGTATTGCTGCTTTCAAAGGAGTACGGAGGACTGCTCATTTCCCTGTGTGTGGTAAACCACACAGAATTGCTCTCTGTCCACCATTAGCACGGTCCAATGTGGCTTTCAAACTCTCTGTGACACGATGGGGAAGCACAGGAGTGCACACAGCTACACAGCATCTCTCAGGGCAGCTGTGTACAGCCTTGCTTACGGCTGCAGAGAAACATGTACCCCCAGGACAGAGAATGGACTCACTCTGGCTACAGCCACACTTCAGAACTGTGCCACAGAGCTGAAAAACACTGCACTGGGGAGCGTAAAAAAACAGGAAAGAGGTACAGGGAAGTGTTCTTCATAGCCAGGGAACTTACATTTACCCATCTGAGCTACTAATGCAGTTTATTTTCCTAATTCTGCTCGTTAACACATTTATTGGATCACTTAGTTCAGATGTGTGTAACTTCAGAAGCCTGTTCCTTGTTGGTTTTTGGTTTGTCCATGGCACTTCTCATCTTCTAAGCAGAATTTATATTTTTAGACACAAGCCAAAGCAAAGGTGCTTTTAAGAAAACAACTACAACCAAGCAGGAGTATTCTGACAAAAAAAAATTCGCTGGAAAATACTGATTCATGGAAACCTGCCTTTGCTTTTCCTTTTTTTTTTTTTTTTGGTAGGAAGAAGGTCAGAGAAATATTTTTCAGAACTCTAACTTTTTGTAAGAAAAAGCTGTAGAGAATAAACACATTACTGCATTCACCCGAGACACAGGAGACTCAGATTCAACTTAGAGCTTTACCTGATTTAATTTTGGCCTCAGCAAATCCCCGGTGAATATCTCAGTCAAGTGCATACATCTCAGCCTCTGGTATCGGCCCAGGGAATTTATGGAGTCTGGGAGTGTAAAATGTTCCTTGGATACTCCTCAAGAAGGCATGACAATGGCAGGAGTGGGACCCAGACCTGCACAAACGTTGGGAAAGAAAAACACGTGCAAAAACAAACTTGCCCAAATGAAATGAAAAAAATTCTCAATTTACAACATGTCAGTCAGAAAATGTGCTAAAACAGTAAGAAGCTGAGTTCCTCTACCATAAAACCTGGGAAAATAGAGTGTCTTCCATGAGGACTGAAATCCCCATTTTTGGTGATAAATATGCTTTAAACCATCCTCTTGAAAAAAAAATAAGGACCACGAAATTCTGATATCTGTAAGTCAGAGGAAAATTCCCAGTGACTTTATTAAGAATTTTGCCTTGACAAATAGAGATTTTGGAGTTCAGGAGGTGGCCCTGAAAAGTCAGGGTCAGATTTCTTCAGCGGTGCAACTGAACAAAAACAACCAAGCTCAAAGGAATCACCCAGGACTCTGAAATCCTTCTCCTCCCCCTAAGGCATCGTGCAGCAACATACAAGCCATGGGTGTGATGTGCAATTTGCCTTCTCTTTGCCAAGTTCTGGATTCCTTTTCTGATCCAGACTACTGTGCTATCACACTGAGTGCCACTGCAGGCTCAGTAAATGCCATAAGATGCAACAAGTCCCTGGTTTCTCAGACTCTGCGTTTCCCACGCTGCTTGGATTTACTTGTCACTATTTTCCTGCTTGATAACTGCAGGGATGAGAATATTAGGAGTGGCAGTCTAATCAGTGACCACTCTGGGCATTCAACCTGTCAGAGCTGAAAACTCATGAATGAGCTGCAGTGGGTCAGTGACATGCTCACACATCAACCAGAGCAGGAGGCTCCTCTACAACAAGGCTCTTCCTCATCATATATCCAAAACAGGAATGGAAGCCATAAAATAAAATAAATTAAAAAAAAACCCCAAGCCATAACCAAGCAAGGACCAAAAATCACACAATAAAGATCTAAGTCTATTTTCAGCATAGTGAAAACATAAAAAAGTATTTGCTTGTCCTTTAGACACCTTATCAGACAGGTATTGCACTAAAGATGACTTTATTTTTGCAGAGTCATAGCAGAGATCTGACCCTTTCTCATACACTGAATTCAAACATCAGATGTGCACAAATCCTTATAAATCTCATAAATATATATATTTATATTTATATATATTTTTGTATATATATATCTCAATCAAACCCCACAAGTACAAGTAAATGAATTCAAATGTACTCATTGCTCAATTAAATCTCATCCAGAGATGGGTCTGGGCAGCCATGGCCCCAGTTCAACAAACCACTTAAGCATATGCTTAAAACAAGCTCTGGATCCATTCCCAGTGAGGATTAATGCATATTCGTAAATGCTTCGCTCCTTTGGAGACCACAGAATGAAATATTGCTGGAAAAGCCTTAAAAAGTAAAAGCAGAATTTTAGTTGCTTGTTTTTAAATTAGCTTCAGCCACACTGAATATTCCAGACTCAGCAAACTCTCCACAGACAAATGTTTATTTTCATTCTACAGCACCTTGTGCAATGAAATTAAAATTTCAGAATGCAGCACGGGGCGGCCAGAGGGAAGGATGAGGACAGAAGGTGGAGGTTAATGCAGAAGGACTGTCTGAGCTTTCCAAGTACATTGTAATAGAAAGCACATGAACGGGATGGCTAAGCTGGTAAATAATGATAGATCAATCTACTGCTATTTCTATGGCTCTGCAAGATGCACATGTCCTGACACTCCTCCTTATGTGTAAAATTGAGAATGTGAATTGATATAAAGTGAAATGTTTTCTTTCCCTCAAGCTCCTTCTGTGCCTAGATGGACTGATGTTCACACTCCACTTTTTTCCTTTGGTTAACCAAAGAAATAAATTCTTGATTAGACCCACATTATTCATGTTTTGCAGAGAATTTTTTGCCTACACATACAAGTCCTGCTGGGGTAAGCCAGCAGAGACCTATTGACTTAGTGTCATAGCAAATTACATGGCCTCATAGTCAGATGAAATATTAACTCAAGAGACTGATATTTTCACTGGATCAAAGACCAGCTAATGAGAAACAGAGTACCGGTTTTCAAAGAGGGTTTTAAAAAGTTAGAACAAAACACAGATCATTTAATATACTGCAAAAGTTGCAGTAACTTCCTGACAGTTTGCTTGCCTACAAACCTCTTAGCCCTGATTTATTAACATTAGCTGCTGTGCCAAGTTCATGTCATAAAGGATAGATGCTGTGTGCCCACGCTCTGCTTGGAACTGCATAAACATGATCATCAACTAGATTTGACATCATAATCAAAACAATGAAAACAAGCTAAAGGTGGCAGGCAATATCCAAGAAACTGTATTAAGAAGCTTTGTCTACATTATGAAAAATAAAATTTGTCTCCAGTGATGGAGGGAAGGACCTGTTTTTTAAAGGAATTCAGGTGCTAAAAGAAGCAGATGGGTGCACAGTGGGATTTTTAGGAGCTCTTTGATGGCAACTCCCACTGAAATCACTGTGTATTAGGCAGCTAGGTATTTCGGAAAATTCACATTACCTGCATCTTTAAGCACCTAAATACCTTTAAATATTTGGCCCAAAGACAGCTTACTGTAACGTCATAGGAAACAGAATAGTCCCTGCTCAAGGGGAAATAGTTTATTGTATGGTCAATTAATTTTCAAGCAAGAGAAATCCATGTAAGCAATTTGTAAGAGAAATTAGGCCAGAACTCTTGAGCTATGACTTCTGAATGGTATTTTGTAATTGAAATAAGAGATATGGCACACAAAGAAACCTTGGACATTTTTTTTTCTTATTTGCAAGATTATAACAGCAATGGTACACGTACAGATAAGCTGCTCCCCTTAAACTGGAGCCCATCCGGAATGTTTGGGCCTCAATCCCACCGAAGAGCCAAAGATAAATGTGGTACCTTGGTGTTTGTGAAGGGAGTCAGGGGCTGGTAAGTGCAAGGGCTACAGGAGGGACACACACCCTGCAGGGAAGGCAGGCAGATGGACGTAGGCGTCATTTGTCTCTTTGGTCTGGGACAAAGACATCAGCAGCTGCAGCTTTTTGTCCCAAGGAAGCTCTGGAATTCCAAATGGGAACCTGTAAGATTTTTTGGGATGCTTATGGCCAGCACTGTGAGGGAAAGAGGGCACTGTAGGTGTCATGGAGGTGAGACACTGCACCTAAACTGGCTCACTGCCATTTAGTTTTCTAATTCCACTGGTCCAAGAGCAAAGCAAAGAGACCTAAGATAGCAAGTCCTGCACGTATCCTTTGACTCCTGCTTCAGCAGCAGGAGCCATAAGTAAAGAAGCCCTTCTACTTGCTTGCTTCTGGCTACTGTCTTGCATCCAGACTTTGTCCTGTTAGCCTGAGGTCTAGGAAAGCAAACAAGTTTCTTGGCTTACCTTTTACAGAAGGGGAAAGTAACAACTCTAGTGCTGCACCAGGCCACCTTTCAGTGGCAGAAGAGGATTTCTCCTTCATCACCAATCTGTGTATCCCATCCAAGTCACTTCATTTAATGTGGAAAAAACAAGCAGTGACAGAACAGGGCCCTCAGAGTAAGGCTCCCAGCATAATGCAGCCACAAGAATTTAACAAGTGGGATTTACTTAACTGGTCACTAAGTGTTAGGATTGCTTTAAAGATATATTGCTGAAAGTGTTTCTCTGGCTATAAAGAAACAGAACCAAGGGAGCAGAGAAAATGCCTGGCAAGCAAACTCTCTCCCTTTTGTTTAATAGCTCTCTTCAGACTTGTAAGCCCAGAAAAAGCTTCATTAAAGTTAATGGACAAATCTTCCAGGGAAAAAAATTAAGTACTTAAATGTTACTAGTTTTGGTCTGAGCACACAAAATTTCTCTTCCTTGCTGGGTTCACCCCAAGACAGCAATCTTCAGACAGAATTACGTAAATATTGACAGCTTTCAGGCTGGTTTTGTGTCTCAGACCTTAAAAGTGACTGGCAGAGTTCACGGGCCAGGTTCACAAGCCTTGTAAGTGGGCACAGCTTCACTGAAGTCAGTGGGAAGCCTGCACACATTACAGGAACCTTCCATAAATAGAACAGAGCTGCGTCCATTTGTACCAGAAATGACTGCAAATTACTGCCAGAAACATTACAGAGTACATTTTTCACTCTGTAGACTTCAGGCAAACCATTCCTGATGACAGCATAAGAAAACACCGCCCCCAAGTCACTTCCTTAGCTATTGCCATGGCACCCTTAACATTTAAAACCTCTCTAACACACCAATGCCAATTGCTTTCACCCTTGCTACACCTCCAGTGTGCTTCTATGCTTACTTTTCAATAGGTGACTCAGGCACAGATTGTGACCTTCACCAGGTCCCAGTGAGTCGAAGGGGAGACACAGCAAGGTGCTGGGACAAAGAAAAGTGAATATAATCCCTTATATAATGGATTTAACACTCAGTCTTTACTCACATCAGGCATTTTGCAGAAGAAATGCTTTAAATAGCTTCTTTATCCACTCGCAGTACAGAAAGAAGTAAACTTACCCTGCTCTATGCTTCTAAAAGGCAAAATTAAAAAAAGCTCAGTTAAGAATACATGCTGCCATTTTATGTCTTAGGTGAGATTTTAAATGGGTAACCATTAACAAAAAAGGGCTGTGCAACTTCCACCTTAAACCAGGCAAAACTGCAACTAAGAATGGGATGCTGCACGAAGGCAACTGTGTTCTAGTACCACATCTGAGGTGAGACATAGCAAACATAATCTGCAGTTCCCATTTGGGTGTTGAAAAGTGTAAAAACAACATTTGAGATGTCCTGTTCTTGCCAGACATGAATGATGCAATCAAAGACAAAGTGTCCTGCTGTGAAGCCTGCAGCTCATAGAGGGAGCAGAATGTAACAGAGGCCACTTACACAACACGAGACTTCTGACTGCCCTTGGAACAAGGTTGGCAGAGACCCCTCTGGATGAACAAGGAGGAGTCATTTCTCATTAATGGACTGTTCCTAAAATTTTCACGTACTATCTCACTGATATTATTATTTATAAAATCAGTGTGATATTGTTATCTGC